CGAACCGGGCTGCCAGGTCTCCGGCACGGAAATCGGGCAGTGCCTTTCCCGGGGGTGCCTCAGTTGAAGGTCCACGGTACGTTTATGGTTAAAGCTATTTTCAAGCCACAAAACAAGCCGTAGATAAAACTGAAGCACTTAACGCTCTAATGAACACCATCTCTCCTCCCTACCTTACACATGGCTACGGGTAGAAGATGAAGAGCCGTTTTAGTAACAGCAATCAGGTCAAATCGAGTGGTAAAACACAAAACAGTAGCAGCACTGAACAAACCTTGATTTTGCTCAGGATTGAACCAATAATAAATTAACCCGAATTAAATCGTTCATGAATAAAAAATGAATCTGGGTTTGGGGGATTTTTTGTTCTGCTGGTTTTTTAATAAATTGTTTTTCATCCTGTATTTGTGACTAAAACTGTTTTTTTCAAGCTGTAATAATGTTTATTTAAAAGCAATGAAGGAAAAAGCCATAATTTAAATGGATCCACAACTGAAATTCCAATCCATCATTGAAAATGAAACACACCACCTGGAATATTAAGTACCACTGTTTTGCAGCACAGTAACCCACTCAAAAATGCCATCTAGCCATAAGATAGACATAGCCCTTTACAGAGCAAACATCAAACTTCATCCTAATTTGCAGATAAAGAGCAAAACCAAACCTCTGTACACAACCTGAAAAAAGCCACCAAGTCATATGACACAAGACAAAATGTTCCTCCTTATTCAGTCACTTTCAGCAATGCATTGCAGTCCAAATACCCTTTCTACTTTTTGTATTTAAGGATAGCATCATAAGATTTGCTTAGTCCCCAGTTAAAAAACATTTCAAGGCAGAGGATTTTACACACACATTTGCATGTTGCGAGCAGTATTTACACAATCAATACTCCAGAAACGCATTAGTTAATTAAGGGCTTGTAATGATGATAAGGATTGTATCCAAAAGAAAAAGAGAAAATGGCAGAGGATCAAGAAGCAGTCCATTTCCTACAAGTAAGCACAGGGACAGCATCCTGCAACACCGGCTGTGTAACAGATTCTAATGTGAAAACTCCATCCTTCAAGACCTGACTGTATAAAGTCCTGAGCAACCTGGTCTCACCCTGCCGTGAGCAGCAGACTGGGCAGGACACGCTCTTGTGGTCCCATCCAACCTGCGTTAGGGCAGGATCCCAAGTCTCAGCAGGACTTACCTAGGAAGTAAGTCTGTGATAAAGACAGAACTTCTTAAACATTAAGAGATCAGAAAGTTTTATCACATGGGAAATAGTAATAATGAGAAGACACCTTCACTTTTAAGGAGACAGAGTTGATGGCAGAGAGAAAAGATCCCCAAAGGAAAAATAAAAGCACAACAGAGAAACGTGAGCAGCATTTTACTTCTGTTCCTAAACCAACCATGCCTGCTAGTGGCACCACACCAGCAACATCTCAGCCACTGTCAGCCTATTTTTCATTAGTCTTTCAGTTGTGACACCTAAAAGATGGACTGTGAACTCACTGGGCTGTACAACCATTGGATACTCTCTGCCCCAAAGGCAAGAAAAGAAATATTGTCAAAACCAAGGGGAGCAGAAAGAGACAGGAACTATTGTCGTCCATACAAAACACTCCAGTGACATCCAAACCAGCAGTAGGTGCATATATAAAAAACCCAGCACAGTTCCTCCTGCCCTTTAGTCTTAGGGAAATTTCTTGTTAATAATGATTTATGTCAATAAAGGCAGAATTACAAATTAACACAAGTATTTCTGACAGCCATTAAAAGAAAATATTCCTTGCAACTGACAGGCAGCGTTTCTGAAATGATGTCACTATTTCACAAGTCATTTGTTGATGTATTTGAGTATTTTCAGAGAAATCTGACAAGTTTAAGCAACAGACACTGAGTTGTTGCCTGCTGCTTAACACCAAAGCTTGCCTTTCTCTTTTAAGGTCTTTCAGAGTTGTAGATTGCTTTCCCCAAGTTGCACTTGAACATCCAGGATGCAACAGAATGACAACTACTGTGGTGTCTTGTTTTCTTTCCTCAGCACTCAGAATTAATCTTTCTGTGCTTCCGTGCCTCATCCACAGAACAAGACACCAGAGTTGTTTCTATTGGCTTTTGATCATTTACAGAGAATCAAAATACTAGCATACACGTAATTGCTCTAGAATAGCATCTGCATGTTAGCTGAGACTTGGGGATAGGTGGTTCTACTTGTATGTGTTTGATACTTCTCAAGGAATTCACTTGACTTTGCACACCATTCTTCTCCCAGCAGTCAAGACTTCTTAAGGAATCTAGAATCCCATCTGTCTCTGGCAGCAAAACATTATGATCAACTTCAGATGAATATAAAAAAAACCCCTAACGATCAGCGGAAAATTTCTTTCAAGCTTCAGTTGGTGATCTATATATACCATGATGCTCATTTCATTTTAGCTATTTCCAGCACAAATAGCTAATCCTTATAAAAAACACCACTTCTCAGTAATAGAAACTGTCATGGTTAAACACTGCTCTAGAGCATATTTCTCACTAAAGATCTGCAACCTGTAAAATTCCATGCTCATATGATAAGAACACATTCAACATCTCTGGTCCTCCAATATTCACTTCTAAATCTTTCTCACCCAGTGCACCCAAGACAACGTAGCGACAGTTTTATTTCTTCTATTATTCATCTTTTCTATTACCTAAGGGCAGTAACCGAGTTACACTAATTGTAACAGCAATATAATAACCAGGTCATTGAAAACCAACCAGATGCCACAAGAGTTCCAACAAACACAAAGGTTATGAACTGTCATTAAAAGGGAAAGGAGTTCTCTCTGGTTCTGTAATGACAGCAGAAGCCTTCAAGCTCACTCTGTTCATTTACCTAGAGAACTACTGCAACTCAACTACCAGACCACAACCTGCACACTAGAGCCTAGACAATGGACCCCACTGCCAAGTTATTTTCTGAAAGATCATTAGACAATCATTAAATGGCCAAAACTTATAAAAGCAACATATGACAATGTCAAAATTTTATATACCATATATTTATGTTGTTTTATTCATTAAACAATATGTAATTTATATATTCTTTATTACTTGCCTATATTTATTTATAAATTATGTATCTCTCTGTATTTGAAAGAAAGCATATGTGTATATGCCGAATTCCAGGACATTTTCAATCCTGTTATGATCAGTGTTCAAATAAACCCTTCGCAGCCATTTCCTATTACAGAATTGGCCAGCAACACCTCTGACAAGACATGGAAAAATCTGTTCTGGCATGTAACGGGTGCCAAGGTGAATTATAGACATGATTTCAAACTGAATATACCAATTCATTGATGGAAGGACTGAAGGCTGACAAGACCACAATCCATGCAGCTGGATTTTGTGCTCAGATTTAACAACATGCTTTCATATCATTATCTTTTTCACATAAACATTAAAGTAAAAAAATATTTAGATTTTTATATCTAAACTAATTTCAATTTAGATACTTGATAAGTGGATAAAGCTCCCTACAAAACATTCTCACTGCAAGAAATTCCCTAACCCTCAATGTGCATGACCTGCAATCTTCAAAAAGAAAAAACCACCACAGCCAAAGCATTCTGTAAGAAGTTTTATAACAAGAAGTTGCTCCACCTTTGTTATTTTTCTTCAAGTCTTAATTGTGAAATTTCTTCTTTTTCCGATTCCTCTTCCCTGCTGCAAAAGCTGCTCTTTCACTCATGATCTCCTGATACTTCTTTTTATTATATCTGAACAAAATAGATAATTTTCTTTTAAGCACAGTAAACCAATGTTCAGGAAAAAAAAAATCACATGGAAAGTACTCTACATACATCATTTGCCAAACTCAGTTCTCTCATGTTTTCCAAGTCAGATTTCTTTATATACTTCTGCACAGGTGAAAGGGAATCAATGCTTGGATTAATGATAAATATGGGTAAATTTGTCGTAGAAGTAAATTTGATTAAAGGCTCATTAATTTTGGCATAACCGGGGAGCTGTTCATTGCACATACAATCACATTTTGGAAAGTTTGCCAAAACACTGCTACTGCTGATCAATTTTGACAATACCATGGACAAATTATACCCATCTTTATACTGCCTCCTCAGCAAACTCAAGGTAATAACTTTACTCAAGCCTGAAAACAATGAAACACTAAACAATGAACAGAATATACTTACTGAGTATCAGCTGCTAGCTCCTAATACAGCTTCCTATGTACCTGCACCAATTACCACAACGGATCACTGCACACTGAGCAGTACTGAGGCTTTGAACCGCAACACTGAAACCGGACTAATACCTGCACTAATGCTGATGTATCTGGTTAAAGCCTTTAATTAACCACACCATAAATTAAGTGATCACATTTCAAAGACATCAACTGTTTAAAATAGTTTCTAACAAATATCAATCAGGTAAAGCTAGCTAGGTCAACTAGGTAAGAAATAGCTATACAAATTTGCCTTCCCAACATAATTTACAAGCCTGACAATATTAACCTTACAATCCCAAATCATGCACTGCTTCCAAGAAACATGTCCTTACGTGAGAAAAGAAAGTGCAGGTTAACATCATGTAATAACCAATATAAAAATGGATCAACTAAAGGATCTACTCCAGAAATTGCAGGTTAGGCAGACATTAATGAATCCAATCATATTCCTTAAGTAAGACTTCTAGTGCAGTTTTGATTCCTATGACAGATGCCAGACTGACATGCTTATATAAAGGAAATCATACCCACTCTCATAGAATTACAGTCAGCACTTTTAATTTGGATCAATTATGCCAAGAAAAACTGATCTTTAAACAATGAAAACAAGTGCACGCATAGGCATAAGTCACTTAGAGCCCTTGATCTTTGGTGTAAGCCTGTGCAGACACTTATCTTAGAAGTGAGCCAGAATAGGGTTAATATGTTATCTCTTCAACACTGACAGTATTTTAAGAGTGGCTGCCAATAGTGATGACCTGAGTTGGATAAAACCCTTTTATGAAGATAAAATATGCTGTCTCAGTCTAATTATCCCCTGTCCCTTACGCCTCCTTAATGTCAGTGCTGGTGAAGTGCTAAAAAGTTTTCTTTGATATATTAAAAAAAAACCCACTCAGTTTATACTGAGTAAACCCAAGTTACAGTTAAAAATACTCATCTTTTACACAGGATATTAGAACTACAAAACCATTTTTAAATACCTTCTGAACTCAGAATCTGCCAGCAGCTCCTCAACAATCGTTCTCTTCCTTTGCTTCTTAGGGATTCGACTATGGTAAAAGTCTATAGGAGAATCAACCACAGTTCCAACCTAGAAGACAGAAATGAAACATTCTCACTGTACAGCAAGATGCTGATTATTCTACCCCTTTGTTTTTTTAATCTTCCAAGTATAAAGGCACCTCCAGAGAAGATCAGATTGGCATCATAAGGAAGTGCAAAACAGCAAGACACCTTTTGTGTCATTGTTCAGTGCACAGAGGAGGGTCTAAGCTTTAAGACTACAGTTTTTAACACTGGACTGCTGCATCAATGCTTGTATTAAAAAACAAATCCAGTTCTTAACTTTTAAAGATTTTCCCAAGGAGGGAAAGAAAACCCTTAACAAGCATCTTAACTGTCTCTGTCACTGTGGTGGTTTTGCTTGATGGCTACACAGCAGTTAATCCAGCTCTAATGCAAGGCCTTCATTCTGGAATACATCACATTGTTTCCAACCAGTCAGTTCTGATGATTCAGGTCGGCAGTGGAGATCGATAGAGTCTGTGTTGCATGTCGTGAAGGCAGACCTGCACATATCTCATCATGTGCAACACTTCCATCTGAAGTTTTTCTGTGCCCAGAAATTTCAAACCATACAAGACCCACCCTTCACAGTGAAGTGTTACTACGTTGAGAAGTTAAACCAATTTCCTCAAGCATGCCAACTATTCAAACAGGCCTGAGCCTGTAGGAGCCCATTTCTACAGTTTCTGCATGCAAACCACTTCAAAGCTCTCAAGTTCCAGCAGCAGCAATTCTGGCTGATCACAGAGCTAGCTGTCTGTTCACACTGTACTAGCTGGTAAGGAAATCAAAGCTGCTTATTTTCTACATCTTGATTAAAAAAGGCTAATACTCGAGAAAAAGCAGTAAAAATCTAGTCCACTGAGGCTTCAGAATACAGATTGTCAGATGTTTGTTCACGACTATGAGATCAGCTGAAATTAAAAAACCCCAGCATATACACATATGTAATACAGACTTAAGCAGTTGTAAACTGCAGCCAAATAATGAAAACCACTTAAGAATTAAGCTATGAAATTGTATCAACGTGTACCTACAAAATAGGCAGGGAAGAAGAACAGCTGTTTAAAACTTCAGCAGGGCAATGCCACCTTCTGCTGCTTCCTTACCTGGAAGTACTTGGGTAGACCATCTCTATCGTTCTTCTTATAAAAATGCTTTGGGTCCAACGAAGCTCTCATCTTCAAAACTTTCAGATCATTCTTCAGTTCAGCTGTGATTTCTGGGGCTTTCATACCAAACCAACCATCACCCGTTGTCTTCTCTCGCTCTGCCTAGGATGCAACACCAAGAATAATAAATGTGCATTCAGCAACCAGGAAACGACAGAGCAGGGAACTCTCCCCTCCAGAAGATATTTAGAATGTAACTCCGTACCCTTAAGAAGTGTATTTTATGACCCTTATTACAAGAAGGTTATTGACACTGTATTAATGACAGATTTGTACCATCTGAACACATGATCTTTCACTTCACTGTCCTGGTGACTAAAAGGATGCTTCTCACGGGATGGCTCAAGAAGACACTTCCAGTGAGGCCAGTGTATGCACAGAGTCCGGGCATGGGCTTTCTACCAAAGGTTGTGTTGTTCTGTGAGGCATGATCAGCTCTTCACTTACCCTGCGCTGTTTCTTTAGCTGGTGAAGTGATTCCCTGTAGGGTGGGACACATTCCTTTTTTTCAAAATCTGGAGTTATTACACTCTTCTGCAAGAGCTGTAAGAATTTTTATTAACATTAGACAGTCATCTCACTGATACAAGTCTTCCTGCTTAACAGTATGTACAGAACCTACTAAAGGAATCATGCAGAATCTAAGCAAGAATTGTAATAGAGCACCTTGAACTTCTTCCATCTACAATGAAAGTAGTAGGGATCTTCTGAACAGAACCCTGGCCAACAACAGATAGCAGCTGGCTAGCTCTGGAGATAGCAAATGTTTTACAATAAACAGAGCTATCACGGGTGAGCCTACCAAGACCATCTTCCTGAAAATAACACGTTCCCTTTATCTCAAAGGGTATTTTTGAAGTAAAACTGCTCATCCCAGACTGGGAAGATTACAGACCTTTATTTACTGAAATTCATTCTTGCTACAGAGTAAACACTTTGTTAGGAGGCAGCTCATGTACCACTGAACTGCAAAACTGCAGGCATAATCAATTTGGGTTTATTTTACAAGGTAATGCTGATATTTGCACTGCTTTCAGTTTCCAAAATGTCAAGTCTATTGAAATTCTTATCATTAAAACCAAACCCAAATCCACACTTTGGCCAAAAAGAATGGAAGTTCTCAGCAAACCATAGAACAGGATACTTCTTTAAAAACAAGTAAACCCACCATATTAAATTAACATCTTTTTGTTACTGTAGTCACATTAACTGCATTAATTGCAAACACATTACCTGGTCCTTCTTTTTCTCCTTCAGTTGTTTAATTACACTTGATTTAGGCTTCTGGTTTTCTGCATCAAAACTAATATATAAACCTCCAAGCTTCTTGATATTCAAACCAGGGTCTATGCTGCTGGAAAGATGTAAACTAGAAGAGAAACAGTTAATGATTAATAAATTGTAACAAGCATGCACCTAAACCTCCTACTGTCCTCTGAGAAAGATAAACTCATTCTTCTCACTTAGGTTCAGTTCTGCAATGATTTTAAGTCTTGGTATCCAGTAGATAATTTAAGGTGACAGAATTTGGGGAGGGGGGTAATATAAATTGAGAGGCTGTTAAAGAACAGTATCTGTGGAATCACTTCCACAAATCTTCCCTATTAACTCTAATGCTGCATTCCTATCTTAGCTATTACTATCTCCTATAAAAGTGAATTCTTAATTTGCTTCACCTTGCCAAAAGAACTCATGACCAGCATGCTACTTCCATAATCTGAGAAGCTTGCTAGCTAAAACTAAAAGGAAAACCACCACAAAAGCTCAAACATATGGGTGGTAGAAATGTTGTCAGCTGTTAGTGAAAAGAAGCTAGAATTCCTTCTAAGAATGTTTAAGACCCTTATTGTTTAACGGTACTAGGAATAATGTTATTAAACATTTCAAAGCTTGTTTGTTTCAGTTTTTCATTACTTCAACCAGGCAGGCAGAGGAATGTATCCACAAAAAAGGTAAATGGCTGACTCGAAAGGAGGCTTTTGATGACAAGAATGCTTAAAAGCTATGAAGCATTACAGAGAAATATGGTACAACAAATATTCATGGTAGCCTGAATGCTTGTTAATACAAACCCTTCACAACTTTCTACTAAACAGTGACTAATCTTCCACAATGCCTCTACACTGAGCGCTTGGCTAAGTTTTTGTAAGACTTCTGCCCTACCTGAAGGTTTTTAGAAGACTAATAAGTAAGACTTACTTATCCAACCTAAACAGAGCATTATGCTTTAAACATATAAAGCATATAAAGAGATTTTAGCAAGAGCTGGACTACAAGAGCTCAAGAGGTCCCACCCCACCTAAATTATTCTATGATTCTGTGCTGGGCTGATTTCACTTGAAGTGTCACTGTCCCACAGCACAGGAACTGAACACATTATTAAAGTATATGTGGTTATTTAGGATTAAAAAGCATGACAGAATTAGCCAATGTGTAAGGAATTTACTGCACTTCTTGTTACTCATATCCAAACTAAAAACACAATTCAGAAAACTGCAACCCAAACAAGCTTTAACCCAGTTCCACATTCTGGTTTCTAAGCTGAACACATGCAAGGCCTCCAGATACCCAACTATTTCAGACAGTTCTGTTCTGCTATATACAACACTGAAAAAAACCCCCAAACTCTCCATTTATGGACTAAATTTGTACGTTATAATCTGTTCAACCCCACTTCTTCATGCATCAATGACTTACGTGATGAGACTACTCCCTCATTTATTTCACATCATTTAGCGCTTAATGCACAGCTCTTATGCATATGCTTGAACGAAATGCAGATTCTTTAGTTATTGCCAGATACTTACACATCAGTCTTATTTTTCAACAAATCATCACCTTCATCTTTCTCATCTTCATCTATCAATTCCTCTTCAACCTCTTCCAGATCTGACAATTCTTTACCTTTTTCACTTCCTTCATGCTTACTTCCAGCATCACTACCTTGGTCTATCTGATCCAGGTAATACTTCTGGTCAGAACTCATGCCAGGCTTGGTATCAATTACAAAAAGCCCTTCAACATGCAGTGAACTGGTTTCTAAAGATTTGCTGAGGGAAGGAGTCCCCTTATCTGCCTCTTTATTATAGAGATTCTTTTCAATTGTATCTATGTCTACCACATCACTATCTTCAGATTCATCACTTTCATCTTCGGCCAGAAACAATGAAAGAGAATTGTTTCCACTGCTTGAAATTCCACTGCAGTGAGCTACAGGTTCAGCACATTCTCCTGCTTGATCTTCAGCACTGTCCACACCGATCTCAAGCATCTCGCATCCGCTAATACTGTTGGTTCTCTGTGCAACAGCTTCGTCCCTTCCTGGGCTCCTCACGTCAGTAGCTTGCTCACCCTTTCCTAAATTATCAGCATGGGTGAAAGGCTGCTGTGGATCTGCCTCAGCATCTGCTCTTTCACATTCTGGATTTGTTTTACCTTTATTTAGTGTTATTTGCTCTTGGAATTCTAAAAATTGCTTGGGACTCACGCCATCACACAAATCCATGTGCTCTAACTTTTTCACCCTCACCAGCATTTTACTGTGTTCTTGTATTTGGCCACAAGGTTCCTCTGAATCATCAACCCCAACAGACTGTGTATTTTTAACTGCCATTTTCTCAGGTGATTCCGTGCCACTTTGTTTCATTGGTGTAGGACTGTTGGGTGTCACATCATTCAAAGACTCTTCTTTCACATCTTCACTCTCGGCTGTATTGGCAGATTTGAAAGAACATTTGCTTTTAGGTGAACTGGGTTCTTCATTACCCTCAGCGACAGGGGAAGCATCTTCTGTGTCAGAAACAAGTTCTGGAGCAGGTCTAGAATCAGAAATGATTACTGGCTCAGATTTAATGGTATCCTCAATTAAATTCTCATCTTCTGAAACAATTCTGTTTCCTTTCTCAGTCTGCTTAGTATTTTCTGCTTCTGATTTGATTTGCATTCTCCTAGTAACTCGTCTGTTAGTGACGGATGGTTCCATATGGGAACTTAAGCAGCACGAGTCTGCATCAGAAATATCTTCACTCTGGGCTTCATGAACTGTATCTGGCTGCACTTTCTTTTTGCTTTGCCTGCTTCTTCTAGTTCTAGTAACACCAGAAACAGCAGAGGAGCAAGACTCAGCTTCAGAAACATCATCTTCATCCAGAATCCTGTTTAACTTACTCAGAAAAGCTGTCTTGTCATGTCTTTTTTTGTCAGGAGAATCTGGCTGATAAGGAACTACAATTTGTCGTCGTCTTGTCACCCTTACAAACAAGGGTGTCTGAAGACCAGACACAGCAGAGCAGTTCGATTCTGCTTCTGACACATCCCCATCAGCTTGTGGTTCAGCAACTGATCGTGCTGAGTGGACCGTTGTGTTCTCATTTGTAGTTGTTTCCATCTCTAAGCTATTGTTGACATCTGACTTGGTTTCTGCATGTTCCAGCTCTTCAGACTGAGATTCCTGAATTACCTCTGACTTACAAATTGATTTTGTTCTTCTCCTAGTCATCCTCATAGACACAGGAGTATTAAGTTCAGCAGCTGCCATCTAGAAAAGAAGTAAAATAACGTGTGTTATTGACAGATAAAACAACCCTATAAAAAGGATGCTATACAAATCACTGTCTTTTTAAAGTACTCTACTCAAGCTGACAGCATATTACATGTCTCTATGTGGAAGAAGTATCAACAAACCATCCTGTCCTCATGTTTGTCTACTCTCTTTCGTCAAAAGCAGGAAAAGAAACACGCTTGTCCAGCAAGAAATACAGACAAATATCTTCTAATTCTACAAGTTCTGGCAAGCTGTCACGGGAAGGAAATTCAGAAGCGATGTACAGAAACATTCCAGGATCTGCTCAACTATAAAAGCTAGCAAATGGCAGAATGTGGCCCAAAATGGTTTCTAGATCCAGTTTTAGGCACAGACTGGCCTCTCGGTAACCGCAACACTAGGTATAACCTGCTTCTTTAACGATGCTTCTAGTTCCGGGGAAAGCAATTCAAAATCTGGGAAAGAAGAAACACTGCGACAGCACGATATTCCCAAAACACCGAACCACGCTACCTCCACATCAGGATTTACGCAAGTGTTTGCCTGTCTGGTGGAAAAGACACACAGAACTGCTATAACAGCAGCAGTGCAAAGAAAAACAAGATGTCATCCCCTCAGCCTTAGCCCTGAGCCGCGTTAAAGGGTTTAACACGCACCCCGCTGCGGACCCGGCCCCAGCTCCGCC